CACCTTCCCTTTACTACTTTCCTACTTGAATTCTCTGCTGCTTGTTAGAAATCTGTGCCAGGAATCTGCCATGGATAGTACAGCCCTAAGGACAAATCATTGGCAGAGAAAGAACATGGATAGAAAATAAGGCATTAAGTAAGTTGTATGTCATTTATTGAAAGGTCTAAATACCCTAATGGCACTAAATCCTGCATAATCTTGGAAGTATTTAGATGGGATACCATCAGTGAATACCACCTTCAGAAGAAGGAAGTAGCAAAACTACTTCTGGGTCTTCATTGCCTAAAAACCCAATGGAATTCATAAGGTGGTCATAAGTCGACAAGCCACCTGAAGCTACCTACACACATATATTTGTCAGTTACTAAGCAGCAGTTTTAGAATTCTGGGTGCCTTGGCAAAGCAGGGGCATACAAGTGATATAAGTAGGCATAGCTGTGCTATATGCTATTTATGATTTCAACTTAGATTTTCTAAGTTGAATTACTCAGTATCTCTTTTGCTTTGACTTGGCTAAAGAGGGAAAGTCAGAGAAGGTATTTAGCACTAGCAACAGTACAGTATCTAGGAACAATATCAGTGGTTTAATTTATCCACATCTGACAAAGTATGTCCTCTCTAGGCTTTTTTCTAGGTCCTCCAGTGTGTCCTTATGGTATTCTTGGGTCTTTTATGTCTATAGGCTTCATAATTATCTGCAGTTTCATGAATCCTAGTGAAGTTTCAGAACATACACCCCACAAATATGGGTCATGTTCATTCGTTCAGTCATTTCCAACTCTTCGTGACCTCATGGACCAGCCCATGCCAGAGCTCCCTGTCGGTTCTTACTGGGCCATACTGTATATAAAAAGAGATAGAACAGTCTGGCTCACAACCTACAAGTGGCTCATGAATAAGGTTCTTAGATCTAAGGACCAGGCTCATCTTTTCTGATGTTCAAAGTATCACACTTGAGGACATCTCCAGGAACTGCCTTTTGCAACATCACTTTTGCAACACTATCAGAACCCAGTTCCTATGACAGAATTACAAGAGCCTTTGCTCCTAAGATCTCATGTTGGCTCAGAAATCCCAAGGCCTTGGATAGTCCCGATCTGGCAATCCGATTCAATAAGGACCTGTGGCCCTCAGTGTCCATCACTGAGGTAGACAGAATAATCCAAACTATAGACAGTTGTGCTTCCAGAAGCCTCCAGAGGGCATGAGTCTCCCATTTAATGATACTGGGAGAGGGGCATTTGTAAACTTCAGTTCCAGATAGTATTCTTTAACCAAATGTAAAGGTACAAGGGCAGTCCATATACATAGTGTAGTGTGAAATGGGGTGGGCACAACTCCTAGTTTTCCTGTAGTTTTCCACTGCTATTTTACAGTAATATAAGTACATATCAAATAATATGAGGCTGATCTGAGTGAAGTCAAGTTAGCAGAATTTGGTGGTGGTCACGGAAGGAGACAGCTGGTTAAGTACTACATGAGAACTCAAGAAGAAACAATGTGGGCCTAAAAGACTAGGGGCCCTTCTGGACAGGCTTTATATCCCAGGATTTGCTCCCAGGATTTCTGCTTTAAACTGGATTATATGAGTCCATACTGCTAGAAAATCTGGGATAAACAGAAAACTTGGGATCAGATCCTGGGATATGGGGCCTGCCTGGAAGGACCCTGAGAACAACACATCCAAAACTAATCACAAGGAGTTATTGACTTGGTAGCTGGAGTTTAGTAACCTAAGTCTTAGTCTTAGAAAAAGTAGTCAGTGGATCTGTAAACATATAGATTTTGGGATAGACATCCACAGCTCTCCAGATGTTGCTCGGGAATTATGGGGTTCAATACAAATGGGAAATTGTAAAGGTTTCCAATACTTGATCTAGATTAGGGTTGGGAATCATGCAGCCCTCCATAACATAAAGCTCCTTAACATAAAGAATGCTATGATTTTCAACTCAGCAACATTTGGAGGTTTACATAATTTCTACCCTTGACCCAGACTTTTTGAAGGAGGGTGCAGCCAGTGGTTATGATCTATCCCACAGGATGCATTTAATTTTCAAAAGCTGGGAATATTCTTCTCTACCCAGAGTTGACATGACTTCATTTGGGACCATGTGTTCAGACTATTCAATACAATTCAATAAAGCAATTGCTGCTTCAGATAATCATTTGCAAAACAAGCATGTCCTAAGATGCTGAAAAATAATGTTTAATAACTAAAAGAACCAATATGTTTCAATCTGAAGATATATTTAAGGTCTTTAGCAGGAGCCCAAACAAAGAAATATAAAGGGAAATTCAAGTATTTGTGGGTGTTATATGACATATGATAGTTAAACCTCAGTCTACATAGCTTGTAGGGATGGGATAGAATGCAGTAGAATTCAGAAAGAAGCAAATCAAAGCCCGTCTTAAATTTTCAAAGCACTGGACAAGATGATACAAGTCTTTCTGATCTTTCCCATGGCCAGTTACTGTTGATACATGAAAGCAATAAATCTACTTACAAAAAGTCAGCTTCCATGAGTTCAAAACTCTCTCATAAGATTTCTTTTATTATAAAGTATCTGCACATATGACAAGGTTGTGGATTTATGGCTACAGCAGCTTATAATTGTTATTTTGAGAGGTTGGGGGAGAATTCTGACCTCTATAGAAAACTCCAAAAAGCTTACTATGGTAGACGTTAATATTATTTATTTATTTATTTACAGTATTTATATTCCGTCCTTCACATACACGGCAAACATTCAGTGCCATTTTTGACATACAAGACATACAGACAGACAAAGGTCATTCAGCACTTTCTTCCACTTCGGATCCTGGAGGTTGCTGGATTCAGCCAAAGTAGGAGTAGTCGCTTCATCCACTATGACACTGAGCCTTTAGAGCGTAGTATTTCCTCCTTGCTCTCCGGCATTTTTATGGTGTCATAAATTAACCTCCCCACTGCTTTAAGCGGCCCCTATTTTCTCTACTCATAGCACAGCTGTTTTTGAACTCCTTAGGTAAACAATAAGCTTGGATTGTATTGTATGCACACCTTTTTGTTTGTTTTTCTTTGGTGCAAATACAGCCTCATGTAGCGGAGATTTTTCAAAATCACCTTGGAAAAGTTAAATTTTTAGATCTTGGCTCAAAATCTCCCAGGGCCACTGCCACCAACTCCACTCATAGAATCATTGAGTTGGAAGACACCTTGTCGGCCATCCAGTCCAACCCCCTGCCAAGAAGCAGGAAAACTGCATTCAAAGCACCCCCCACAGATGGCCAACCAGCCTCTGTTTAAAAGCCTCCAAAGAAGGAGCTTCCACCACACTCCAGGGCAGAGGGTTCCATTGCTAAACAGCTCTCACAGTCAGGAAGTTCATACTAATGTTCAAGTGGAATCTCCTTTCCTGCAGTTTGAAGCCATTGTTCTGCATTCTAGTCTCCAGGGCAGCAGAAAACAAACTTGTTCTCTCCTTTCTATGACTTTCCCTCACATATTTATACATGGCCATCATGTTTCCTCTCAGCCTTCTCTTCTGAAGGTTAAACATGCACAGCTCTTTAAGCCGCTCCTTATAGGGCTTGTTCTCCAGACCCTTGATCATTTTAATCACCCTCCTCTGGACACATTCCAGCTTGTCAACATCTTCCTTCAATTGCGGTGCCCAGAATTGGACACAGTATTCTAGGGCACCACAATTGAAGGGAGATGTTGACAAGCAAGAATGTGTCCAGAGGAAGGTGACTAAAATGATCAAGGGACTGGAGAACAAGCCCTATGAGGAGTGGCTTAAAGAGCTGGGCACATTTAAACTGCAGGAGGGAAGGCTGAGAGGAGACATGATGGACATGTATAAATAAATAGTTTAAAGAGTACTTCTGAGCTCAGATTTTTTTTGAGAGTATGATACACATGAATGTAATAACATGATAGAAGAAAGCATATTTAAATAGTTTTTCTTATTTACCATATAGTCAAATTCTTCGATTCGGAATTACTAATCAAATTCTATGTTTCTCTTCTATGGGCAAAATTAAATGGAGCATAGAGCCAGGGCTTCTTTGAAGCTGTTCCATTCACTGTTTGTACTGCTGAAGAGGACAGCTTCTTTTCAGAGTAATTGAAAAAATCGAGAACCTCTTCAGAATGTTGCCAAAAACAAAGCCCTCTGTTTTTCAAATGTCCTCCTTTTTATTGCCCTTTAGTTCTCATCTGAAATTTTGGCAGGACTCCCTCAATAATAACAACACTTTATTTATATTCCGCCCTTCTCACCCCGAAGGGGACTCAGGGCGGATCACAGTACATATGCTTGGCCACTTTGTATAGACAATAGATAGACAGAACAGGAGGTGGTTTGTTTCAGCTGCTTTTGGTGCCATGGAAGGTTGGGCTCGAGTCCAGGGGGTGCTGTTGCTCTATCCTCCATGACGAAGAGCTGTCAGGACTTCCTCCTTCCTTTTGGTCGCTCAGCATTTTCTGATCTTCTTTCTTTATGGTGTCGTAAAACACCTCTCCTGCTTTTTAGCGGTACCTAATTTCTCTAATTACAGCTAAAGCTGTTTTTGAATTGCTTAGGTAAACAATGAGCTAGGGTGACAGCAGCTCATGCCAACCTGGGGTTTCGAACTTGCAACCTTTTGATTGATAGATCTTATAATTGCTGAAGATTTACCAGGTGTGCTAAACCTCCGGCCCTCAACCATGGAAGAAACACTGCATACATACAGTAGGGATGGAGTAAATTGGTGATTGATTAGCTTAATATCATCCATACCAATGGAGTGATTTGGTCTCAATTTCACCACAGTTTCTGGGCTGCTATGAATTAAAACTAAGCTCCTGTGTGTATAACACATGATGCAATTAAACCATCGGAAGGGGCAAATGTGACATCTGATGCCCCCCTGGGTTCCCCGTTCTGTCATGTAGGTTGTGGGACCACAGCGTCATCGAGTGCATGCCACACAGGGAGCAGCAAAGAGGTGCAACCCTGCAGAAAAGCAAGCGAAGAGTGGAGAGGAGGACACATTGGCGTTCGGATTGCCTGCCTCTGCTTTCGTCTATTAGCCAGCCAGTGCTTTTGGCTGGGAGCCCAGACCGGGTTTTTGTAATCAAAACATGATCTTGTATGCTGTGCAGCCAGTACTGAGAAAGGCCGACTGATGGCTCTCCTCTTTTAACTCTGCTGTGGAATCCGCCGAGCTTCACCTCTCTGATGTCCAAAATGCACCGATCTGTGAGTGCTGCCTTTGTCATAACTGGGAGGGATGTCGGGGAGTCATTCTTGCATTCAGAAAGCTAAGCAATGACTTCTTTCTCTTTCTTGCCTCTGTTAAAAAGATCGCATTGTGGATTGGGGTATCTTGCTTTTGGTCAGCGGTAAGGTATCAGAAGGATGTGGGAGGGCAAAAACAATGTTTCCCCCCACCACAGGTTATATGTTGTATCAGTCATTCAGGAGATGTACAGGTGAGGTTATCCACATGGAGGGCAAGGAGATGGGGGAAGGAAATGAAAAACAAAGCAGAAATCCCACCAAAATGCTGGATAATGTCAGATATTTCCCATCTCAAAACTGGGGAATGTGATGGTCAGTGCAAAGATGGTGAGTGTTCATGGGGGGAGTTTGTGTGGCAACTGGCACAGAGAAACCTTGGCTTTAGGCCCTTTCCTTTTCTTCACTTCCCATCCCCCAGCTTTCCTTTCTCTCATGAGCCTTGCCTTGCTTTTCTCAGAGTCTTTCATATCATAAACAGCTGACTTTGAAAGCATGCAGGGATACGCTCTCGCCAAAGCCAGGAGCGGTTAAAAATTCCCATTCAGTGGGTGGGTGAACTTTAGGGGGTAGGTATATGATATAAACAGTCTCTGTAAAGCTCCTGTTGTTTTGTTCAATCCCTCTTTTTATTGTGCTTTAATAGAGAATGATATTTGTGGCTGTCAGATTCCCCTTCCCCTCCTCCTCTGCTGTTGGCCTCTCTATTTTTCCAAGCAACCAGGAAGGCTCTCTGATTCACAGGCATGGCACGTTTGCTGGGCCAAAGCCATACCTAACTTACTTGCTCCTGTTGTTGTGTAGCACATGGGTGCTTGGCTCCCTGTGAAAGTTTTAAGTGTGATATGGCATAAAGGAGTATCACTTTCCATCCAGATCAGAAACAGAGGCAACTTTCTTTCCAGTAACTTGGCAGCAGGAATATTATCTTGTCACAGACTGACTGACCGACCAGCTGGCTAGCTGGCTGCAGCACAGCAGCTAAGGCCAGGGAGAAAAATGCTGACCGCGCTTCAATGGGATGGTCAGTGTTCACCAGGGAATCAGCACCCGGCTGCTTTGCATCTTTGGGCCAATTCAGTTGGGTGGTTGCCAGAGGCGGCCCTAGGTAATTTTCAATGGTAAGCAAACAGTATTTTGCCCCCCCCCCCAACCAATCATTGATATATATTTTCCATTTGTCGTGGGAGTTCTGTGTGCCATATTTGGTTCAATTCCATCATTGGTGGAGTTCAGAATGCTCTTTGATTGTAGGTGAACTATACATCCCAGTAACTACACTTGCCGCACTTGCTCCCTTGCCTGGCCCGCTTTGGGTCCGGAGGCGTGCCTGAAGACCCCGGCGTGTGCACCAAAAGTCACCTTTTCTCCTGACTTTCTCCTCAGCCATTGGGACCAAGAGAGAGAGAGAGAGACAGAGTGGAGATGCCCACCTTTCCTGAAGGTAGGCGCAAAAACAAAGGAGGGAGCGGAGGTGGGAGATACCTCCAGCCAGAGGGGCTCCGCCCCTTGGTCCAATGGCTGAAGAGAAAGTAAGGAGAAGAGGCTACTTTTGGTGCGCACGCTGGGGTCTTCAGGCACGCCTCCGGACCCGAAGCGGGCCAGACGCGGCGGCTCCGCCCCTTGGCCCACCCGCGGATTGGGGAGAGGAGAGGAGGCGGGTGGAACGCCGGGGATCGGGAAAGGGAGCCATTCATGGGGCAGGGATCGAACGCGGAGAACGATTGAGTGCCGGCTCTGCTCGCGCACCCGGTGGCCGGGTGGAGCAGGAACGAGAGGGGCTAGGCGAGGCTCAAGGGCCCGGCCCCTTTGGGAAGAGGATCTCCTGTCAGCGAGGCAAGAAAGCCGAGACTCCCCCCAGACTGCTAGGGCTGTTGTGAGCTGAGGGGGCACTCCTCAAGTGGCGGTCGAGGGGCATTTACAGAGGCGCCTCTGCGCCCCTGGCAAAAAAAAGTGTTCTGCGACCGCTTACTTCGCGTAATGGACGAGCCGCCCCTGGTGGTTGCTGCTGCTGGATGTGTAAGGGGGGGGGCAGTTTTGGGAATACGCCTGGTGGCAAGGCTAATGCTAGACCAAAGGCATTGTCTCTGGGTCTCTATGAAAATACAGACCTCCTATTGGCACTCACCATAACCAGACCCTGCCCTGATAGAAAAGATGGCATCATACCCTCCAGCTTTCTTGACTTGGCAATGACAGTCCCAATTAATGCTCTCGTTCATTTTTCAGCTGCTTTTGAAATGTCCTCCTCCACTTTGTCCTTAAGCCTCCGGTGGCACAGTGGGTTAAACTGCTGAGCTGCTGAACTTACTGAACAAAGGTCGGTGGTTCAAATCAAGGGAGTGGGGTGAGCTCCCAGCTTCTTCCAACCTAGCAGTTCGAAAACATGCAAATGTGAGTAGATCAATAGGTACCACTCCTGCAGGAAGGTAACAGCGCTCCATGCAGCCATGCTGGCCACACGAACTAGGAAGCGTCTGCCGACAACACTGGCTCTTCAGCTTAGAAATGGAGATGAATACCACCCCCTGGAGTTGGACACAACTAGACTTAATGGCAGGGGAAACATTTGCCTTTACCTTTGAAATGTCCTCCTCCACTTTGTCCTTAAGTGGCTATAATTGCTGAAAAATGAGTTCAAAGTGCAAAAGTAGTAATTCAGAAGGAGCAGAAAGGGTAGAATTTACCTTTTTTAGTACGCTCTGACAAAAGCAAACTGCTGGAGTAATGTTTTTTCCTTCTTGTCCACACCCTGGTATTATTTTGCCACATGTGTCCTGTCTTTCATCTGTGAAATGTCAGCAGATATATTCAGTTGAGCAGTATTTCTACTTTTTTGCCTCTAAGACCCTGAGCCATAAGTTACATGCAAAATGGTAGCTGTAGCCATAGCAAATAATAGCATCATGTGAAATCTGCAGCAAAATATTGTAGTATATCTTTTTCCCTATTAACACTGTTGCTCCCAGTGCTGCCCCAAAATATTTTCTTGCTTGAGCTGAAGGATAAGATAGCATCAATTCACCACTACTATTCAATGTAGAGAAACTTATTAGATGAACAAAGAATCTTATTTAAAAGATTGTGAGAAGACTACCATACGCTCTCTGCCACTCTGGAAGGCAACACAGGTTGTCTTGCAGAGTGTGGGTCAGATCACATTGCATACACTGCTCTATCATCCAAAACTTGGCTCCTTTTCCTGGCTCCTTAGTATTTGCTTTCTGAGGTTTTCCCCTGATTCTGCTTAATAGTAAAGCTAGGTCCAATTGCTTCTGTTCAGGCTTCATGCTGGCAGGTTATTACTTTCTCCAGGGATACCATAAGAGGCTCAAGCAGGCCAGGTCTTGGTTTCCAGCCCCATCCTGTTTTCTGTTCCAATTGATACTTCCAATCCAGTTGAAAGGATTGCCTCCAGAAAAATGTATTTTTCATATGATTTCAGCAGTAGAATACGCTGCTTCGGAATATGATAGTCTCCTTTTCTGGAGGTTTTTAAGCAAAGGCTAGATGGCCATCTGTCGGGAGTGCTATTGATTGTCTGTTCGTGCATGACAGGTTGGGATGAGGCTAGATGTCTTTTTCCAACTTTATGTTTCTATGTTTCTAATTACTGACAAAAGGAATAGGAAACTGCATCCGAATGTACTAAGACAAAGGCCATGAAGATAGTGCATCACAAGGAAATTGTGTATATCTTAGCAAAAAGACTGCTACTTTTGGAGTTGTGTGACCACATATACCCTAGACCCTTGCCCTTATTGGCCAAGTGAATCACAAGGATTGTCAATGTCTCTCTGGGACAGGGGAAAATTTCATTTTGCCTGAAAATGATGGTCATAAGGCTAATTCTGAAAAAATCGATTCTGGATCCCTCTGCATTAAACAACTATCTGCCCATTTCCAATCTCTCCTTCTTGGACAAGGTTCTAGAGAGAATGGTCATTACTCAACTCCAGAGATTCTTGGATGAAACCAATCATCTTGACCCATCACAGTCTGGGTTTATGCCTGGTCATGGGATGGAGACAGCATTGATCGCCTTGGTGGATGAACTCCACAGACAACTAGACAGGGGGAAGTGTATCCTTCTTGGTTCTTTTGGATCTTCTCAGTGGCTTTCAGTACCATCAACCATGGTATCCCTCTGGGCTGTATCTCCAGGATGGGACTTGGACGCACTGTTTTGCAGTGGTTCCACTCATACCTGGAGAATTGGTCCCAGATGGTGGTGCTGAGGGATAACAATTCTGACCCCTGGCCATTGGCCTGTGGAATTCTGCAAGGTTCGATTCTATCCCCCATACTTTTCAACATCTACATGAAACCCCTGAGTTGTATGTCATCTGCGTAATAGAGTTGTGTACATAGATGACACACAACTCCATTACTCATTTTCACCTAAAGCCAAGGAAGCTGCTCGGGTCATATGCTTTATTGACATATGAACATGTATTTCCAGAAGCCACCTTCAATAGGATAGTTTTGAGATACCCAATCATTTTATATAAATGTGTTTGGTTTGAGTGGTAGATTAGGATTCTGGGAAATATGCATTCAAATACTCACTTGGCCTTGGAGACCCACTGGCTGTCTTCGGGCAAGTCACTCTCTTGGAGGAAAACCCTTCTGAGTAGATCTTGCTAAGAAACCCCAGAATAGGCAAAAATGACTTGAAGGCAAGAGCATGAAGAAGACACCTAATTATATCTAAGAACTTTATTTCTATCACCACCCAAGGTCTGATCTGATATCAACCACCTTCCTGTGATCCTAATAGATCATGCTGTGTATGACTCCCTCTGCACAGATTTTGAGTGCTTCATGTCCTCACAAAATGTGGTTTGTCTGCTCCATGCTGTTTTTGTAACAAGGAAAATTACAGGTGTGCCTTCAAGAATGCACGTTGCTGTAATTCCAATGTTCATATGTCCATACCAAACCCTAGCTCTCCTATTTAAACATGGAATTCAGGTACATCGAGAGTACATGCAAATCTGTAGCAAGCCTTAACATTCTGGTCAGGTAGGAGCCAAATCTAATATAAACCAGTTCTACAAAATTGACAGGAAAATTCATCAAGTTGCAAAACTCTTTTGTTACGAAGACACAGCTGTGGGAGAAGGCAGACCTTATGAAAAGCTCTTATAGTTATAAACAGCACTTGATGTCACATGTAATGCCAGAAGCTTCATTATCAACCAATTCTGAGAACAGTCTTCTCTAATCTGGTGTCCTAAAGATGGGTGAGACTTTGGCCCCATATTCACTGCATGATATGGTCAATGTTAACTCTTGTCATGCAATTTGATGCAAATCAATTACATTATATGAGTCTACACCAGTGGTTCCGAACCTATGGTCTGTGGACCACCAGTGGTCCACAAGAATGAAAATATGGCCCACTGCCTCACCATTACTACATTGTTGCCTTGAAACCATGCAGCAACAGGCGTGACTGTTCTCGCAAAACCCTCTTAAAGTGCGGAGGCAACAAGGATGCCAGGAGGAGAGAGGCTGAATACCCACGAAAGATTACTACTACCACATGAGCTCTAGATGATTAAATATGGTTTTCTGTGGGAAAGCAGATGGCAACTACTGGATAGTATATGTTAGGTATCAGAAACTAGAGCTGATGTGGTCTATCCAATGCAATTTTCTGAATCAGCACCCCAAATAACCAAACCAAATTTAAAGTTGACCAAAAACTGATTCATAACCTTTTTGGTACTAAAGTTGGAGAGTGGTCCCTAGTCAAGTGGCCCTTGGTCAAAAAAAGGTTGGGAACCACTGGTCTACACTATCTGTTTGAAACTGCATTATACAGCAGTGTAGAAGGGGTACACAACTCAGGCCCCTTCCATAATACAAATTGAACTGGATTATATGGTACTGTGGACCATATAATTGAGGATTATATGCCTTGATATTCTGGGTTATATGGCTGTGGGGAAGGGCCCTCACACAATTCCTGAACCAGCAATTCATGGGGATTGTATTCAACATATCTGGAAGGCATGACGTATGGTGCATTTGTACTTTAAATACAAATGGAGTATCATTTTTAATTGAGATTTCCTTCAAAACACAATGCTGGTATCTGAATGCTTTTTGAAACTTAAATCCAATTGCTAGCCACAGTTGCTATTGTAGATACATTACTGGGTGGTTATTTAAGACTGGTGAAAATTATTTCAGTACGTCTATCAAAGTTAAAACTAAAAAATGAATGTAAGAATGAAAATTCAGCAATTTTATGCAATACATCATTTCACAGATGCAACACTTATAAATTTCTAGTGTACTTTTTCTCAGTGGGGTGAAAGACAGTCTGCACATTGTAGATAGGCAACACCCTCTGGTTTTGTGTAAATTCAGCATAATTCTTCCAATGATGGGAGATGACAATCGACCAAGTCCCCTTCCCCACAGCTGAATAAAACCCCACAATATCTGCTTTGAATTGGGATATATAGTAGGCCTGGGTAACAACGGAAAAAATTGTTTCTAAACTCGTTTCGTTTTTAGGGGTCCACCGCGTTTCATTTTTTTAAAGAATTCCAAAATTTTCCTTTTAAAAATTTCAAAATTTTTGAAATTTCGTATAATTACGAATCGATTCATTAATGGCGGACGCGATTGTGCAATATGTTAAAAAAAACCTCCAAATGGGACAGGGGGAACTTCTGAAGCTTCCCTCTCCCTCTGTTGTTGACTGTTGGTGTGATAAAACAAACAACAACTATAAAACTTGCACCAGACATGCGAAAATAATTACGAAATAATTACGAAATAATTACGAAATAATTACAAAATAATTTTGAAATAATTACGAAATAAATTGATAAAATTGTTTCGAATCTAATTTACTCCTCACACTATTCCTGCATGGCTCAATATTGGATCGTAAGCTAATTTAAATACGAATTAATAACGAATTACGAAATTAACGAACGAAACCGCCCAAGCCTAATATATAGCAATGTGAGCTCAGATATCCCAGTTCAAAGCAGTTATTGTGGGTTATTATGCCTTGATATTCTGGGTTATATGCCTGTGTGGAAGGAACCAAAGCAGATGGAATTTGCACTGAATGTATCTGGTTCAGAAGCAGATAAACTTTGAAAAGGGCATTTTTTTGGTACCACACCTCCTAGAAGCCCTCAGTTAGCATAACCACTTACTGGTTTCATCTGATTCATATGTACCCTTGATATATGTGAACACCATGTGACCTAGAAGATAAGGGACCTATAATGGTAACACACCTTCCAATTTTGCATAAAATAAAACCAGGACATGCAAGGCCAAGTGACTTTAGAATGTGTTCAAGATGAGAAAAGTTATTAATGAAGAGAAGCACACAAACTAGGAGCAGCTGCAGTAGTTTGCTTCCCCCCAAGATTTCTGGGAAGTCAAAGATTCTCTTTGGGCAGATCCAGACAGCCTTTTATCCCAGAAGCATCCACATTAAAAAAAAAAGTAGATGTTTCCAGGAGCCTGTCTACACCCACCTCAGAAAGTGCGTGCTTTCTGGGGTGGGTGTCCAGACATTCTCTTGGGACTAGCTGGAGAGAATGTCTGGAGGCCCTACCCCCCTCTCTCCAAGCCCCCAGACCCCTTAGAAAAGTAATGAATACTTACCCTGTCTCTATTACAGTTTCGGCCAGCTATCCTAGTGCATAGAAATGATGTGCCAGGAGAGTGGGGTGATTTTCATTCTCTCTCCCCCCCCCTTCACTCTCTTGGTGCATCATTTCTACGCACCGGGAGAGCTGGATGAAGCTGTAATGGAGGCTGGGTAAGTATTCATTACTTTTCTAAGGGGTCTGGGGGCTTGGGGGAGGGGGCTATTCCCACAGTTAGCCTGGTAAATTGTGGGGGTACTGTCTGGACTACAGTATTCTGCAGTCCAGAACCAGAAATAGTGGATTTATCCCGTGCCTTCCAAGAAGGCATGGAACAAATCCATTGTCAAATTAATTCACTACAAACCAGGGTTTCCAAAACGTTGTCTGGACAGTCCCTCCTTTATTGCGGGAGTTATCATAATAAAACTACTGTCTGGATGGGCCTTTCTTTCCTTTCCTCATTTCTTTATTCATATGATGAAAATGGCCATAGCACTTTGAACTCAGTTTATAAGAACTATAGTAAACTGAAGACACAGGGGGAGAGGAGGGAGAAACGGACATTTTAAGGGCAACTGAAAAAGTGGGACAACAGAGAATTAATTGGGATTGCTCATGCTAAAGTGGGATAGTTGGAGAGTATTGCAGCAAAAAATATTTTCCAAGCATGAGGATTTGCCATTCCAAATTAGGAAGTTTTGTAATCCCAGCAAGAGGTTATTTAGTCAGGTGTTCCTGTTAAAATACGGGCAGAGATTTCATGTTCCGATATTTAACACTAAGCTCAGGAAATGGTGACTTTCTCCTGAAACACTTTTCTGGCAAGACAGTTCTTAGTCAAGGGGGATGGGGTTTGATCCAATGCCTAAAAAAGGGCAGGGCAGGCTCCCTCATCCCAGATATTAGTGGGCTGGCTCACCACCAATTCAATGACAAAGAGTGCTCTGAAAGCCACATCAGCTCTTTAGCACAGATAGTTCTTTTGTTCAATAGATTCTTCTTTTGTCCAGGTTTCATTGATTCTTTCTAAAAGAGAACAAATATTTTTTGACTTCAGAAACCAGAAACACATTTTAGAGAAATTGTATTTTAGGTCTAATGTGGAGCATCATATCTTTCTTTTATGTTCGTTCAAAATAAGATGCAGAGCTCGTATCTTAAAACCACATTTCATCATTTTGTCATTGCCAGAAGTGAAAGAGTTCCACTCCCCTCACCTGCCTTTGCTTTGTTTAAATAAAATAAACAGTTTCCTGCATTATCAGCATAGGTGGAAATTCATCAAAGCTATTTTTCCTTCCCGTGATATTAGGATGCTACTGTGGATGATGCCGTGCTGCGGAAAAAAGAACAGAAAGATGTTGAGCTGGATAAGAAAATCATTGCTTTGCGGAAAAAGAATGAAGCTCTTATGAGAAGATACCAAGTAAGTTTTCTCTAGCTTTTTAAATATACACAGTATCTCCTTGGCTTATATTCAGACCCTACTTGGGGCCCTTCTACACTGCCATATAAACCAGATTATGAAAGCAGGTAATTCACATTATCTGCTTTGAACAGAATTATATGAGTCTACACTGTCCTGTAATCCCTATAATCCACTTCAAATCAGATAATCTGGATTTTATATGGCAGTGTAGATGGGGCACTAGGGCCCTTCCACACAGCCATATAACCCAGAATATCAATGTAGATAATTCACAATATCTGCTTTTAACTGGGTTATCTGAGGGCCCTTCCAGATAGGCCCCATATCACAGGATCTGATCCCTGGTTTTCTTATCTGGCAGTGGGGACTCATATAATCCAGTTTAAAGCAGAAAACATGGGATCAGATCCTAGGATATGGGGCCTGTCTGGAAGGACCCTAAGTCCACATTGCCACATAATCTAGTTCAATGTGGATTTTATACATCTGTGTGAAAAGGGCCTTAGGCTTTCTGATATTGCCAGTTGACTGATAATTTATAATACATATGTTTCCAATTTGCAGGTTTGTTTCATTAGTATCAGTAATTTGAAACATGGTTGGTTACACATGCTGTTGTGAACATGATGCAAATATTTGGATTTTTAAAAACAAACAAACAAACACTGATCTGCATGAAAAATACTGAGAATTAACATGTTAGCACCACATCTCCCACAGCCTGAGCTTCCATAACACCTCCTGCATCTGGGATTTCACATCCACGATCTCTCATCCTTGGGGCCTTCCACACAGTCCTATAGCCCAGAATATCAAGGCAGGAAATCCCACAATATCTACTTTGAACTGGGTTATCTGAGTCCACACTCAGATAATGTAGGGTTTTCTGCCTTGATATTCTGGGATATAGGGCTGTATGGAAGGGCCCCTTGTTTATATTAGTACTATATTGGTATGGGAATGACATACCGAAAAATAAATTTGGAGCCAATCCTGGAATTACCAAACTAAGATTAAAAGACAGGCACAGACTATTCTTCATTCATTTCAGAACCCAAAAATGAACGGCTTTGGTCCTTTTTCTTGGTACTGGCATAGTTACTCACATGAGCTCAAGTTTGCTAAAATCAGAACTCAGAGAAATTCATTTGTGGATTACAGCTTCTGCCAGCAAGACATTCTAGCCAAAGGATGGAGAATGGGGAGTTCTAGTTTCTTTTAAAAGCAACTTTTCCAAGCTCTGGGTCTAATGTCATGAAGAACAAATTCACACCATGTATGCTATTTTAAATTGAGAACACCTAAGGCAGTGGTTCCCAACCTGTGGTCCTTGGACCACCAGTCGTCCCCAAGAACTAAAATATGGTACATGGCCTCACCATCACTACACCATTGCAACAAGAGTGACTGGTTTCAGGAAACCCTCTTATAGTGCTGAGGCAACGAGGATGTTGGGGGAGGGGAGGGAAGAGGCTTACTACCCATGAAAGGCGCGGCAGCAAGCCTCCTGACTGCTGCTTCTCCTCCCCCTCCCTCTCCTTGAGCAGAGCTGTTCCATGTGGCACCTGGAAGTGGGGGCACCTTGGTGTCTTCATTTTTAAGCCTGTTCCTGGGGTTATTTGGGATGCTGATTCAGATAATTGCATTGGATAGACCACATCATCTCTGGATTATTAAATATGGTTTTCTGTGGGTGAGCAGATGGCAACTACTGGATAGCATATGTTCCGTATCAGAAACTAGAACTGATGTGGTCTATCGAATGAAATTTTCTGAATCAGCACCCCAAATAACCAAACTGAATCTAAAGTTGACCAAAAACTGATTCATAACCCTTTTAGTACTAATGTTGGGGAGTGGCCCCTGGTCAAAGTGGTCCCTGTTCATGTGGTCCCTGGTAAAAAAAAAGAAGGTTGGGAACCACTGACCTAAAGTACAGTTCTTCTAGACAAATGGTGATGGGGAGGAACAGAAAGTAATACCACTCCATCCAAGCCCAGATCTTAGGTAGCCAACATACATCTAAGGAAGTGGGGAAAATAGAATAACTTATTTTTGTATATGTTTATGCACTGAAATTTATATGATATCTACACATATCTTGTCAAAGTTGCTGAGTCCTGTAAAAAGCAGTGTTAGAGTAGAAGGAAAAAAATCAGCTTTCTACCAGCTCAGGTTTTCTTCTAGAAGAGAAAGCATAAGCAGATGTCTGAGGGCTCTTCCAGACAGGCCCTATATCCCAGGTTTTCTGGCAGTGCGAACTCATATAATCCAGCAGAAAACCTGGGATCAGGTCTTGGGATATAGGGGCTGTCTGAAAGGGCACTGAGATATAGGGCTCATTTATACCAGGCAGTTTAGTGTGGTGTAAATATCCTCCGAAGTAGCCCCAGATCTGGCATAATTATGCCAGTATATTCCCAAGACCTGCTCCTACTCATTTTAGGAGATCATTCTTTTTTCTGGAAAATAATTGCAGTAATCACCTTGCCCCTATCTCAGCCTGTTACTGTTTTATATTTAGATTTCAGGTTATTATACTATGTTGACATTTGAATTCCTATACACTCCATCCTGAAATGCTTTTGAGATAAAAGTGCAACATTTAGGCCAGAATCCTGTGCTGGAGTAATATATGCATAACCACCGTAATTATGTGGATTTGCAGTGGCTCCTAATTTTAATGTCACACTTTTTAGAAAATCCCATCCACCTTGAACTCCCTTCTCTTTTATTATTCCTGACCATGGGATAACACCTGGTATTTTGTTAAGTTTACTAAAAGTCTGGAGTGCATGACTATGCTTGGTTTCACCTTTCCACTGCATAACAAACTTCAGGAGAATATGGTCACTTCTACCTAAGGATACTGCCATCTTCATGCCATTAACTAGATCTTCCCTGTTGGTTAGGATCAGATCTATAATAGCTGATCCCTTTATTGTCTCTTCCACCCTCTGGACCAGTGGTTCCCAACCTGTGGTCTGTGGACCGTCAGTGGTCGGCAAGAATTAAAATATAGTCCGCACCTTCACCATTACTATACTGTTGCCTCAAAACCACATGGCAACGAGAGCAACTCATCTTGTGAAACCCTCTGATAGTGCTGAGGCAACGGGGATGTCAGGAGGGGAGAGACTGACTACCCACAAAAGATTACTACTACCTTATCAGCTCTAGATTATTACTGTAAATATGGTTTTCTGTGGGTGAGCAGATGGTGACTACTGGATGGCATATATTCTGTAACAGAAACTAGAGTTGATGTGGTCTATTCAATGTAATTTTCTGAATCAAATAACCAAACTGAAACTAAAGTTGACCAAAAACTGATTTGTAACCTTTTGGTACTTATGTTGGAGAGTGGTCCCTGGTCAAAGTGGTCCCTGGTAAAAAACAAAAACAAAAAACAAAAACAACAACGTTGGGAACCACTGCTCTCGACCATAAAACTATTTGCAAGAAAAATGAGGAATTTGTTGGACCTTATATTTTGACTTCAGATTTTGACTTCAAACCAATTTTAGGATAGCTGAAATCTCCCATTACTATGATATTTCTTATTTCTGAAAGTGCTTTCCAGGAAAGGTTCATCCAAATCCTCAGTCTTTCTTGGAGTTCTGTAGTAGACCCACACAACCATCTGTCTCTCCCCGCCCCCTTAATTTTTAAATCGATGCTTTTAACCTGGCTTCCATGATTTAAGTCACAAGTATAAACATCCTTGGCTGCTATACCTCCTTTTCCCTTTGGTCTATTTCTCTGAAACTGGTTAGAACTTCTTATTACTACAGTCCAATGATGAGACTCATCATATAAGGTTTCAGTTATACCTATTATATCATATTTGCTTTGATGCATTAAGGGTACAAGTTAATATTTCTGATAGTCTGTGTAGCAACATCAAAGACCACAGATCATTCCCTCAAGCTGCTTATTTATATATTCTCCCATATCACTTTTGAGTTCTTGTACAACTTGGCTGATTTTCTCTACACCAATTGAGTGATTGCTTCCAGCACTTGATGAACTTTCATCCTTAAGAATTCCTTCCTCACATAACTCAGTTTAAAGCTGTCCTCTTTAGGTTTGTGAGACTCTTAGCAAAACTGTTCCTGTCATCTGCTAGGAAGTACAACCCATCACTTGCCAGACATCCATCTTCATAAAACAACTGACTGTGGCCCAAGAAGCCAAACTGTTTTCAGTAGAGCTGGTTATTTACTACTACTATTCTTCCGTCCCTTCCTGGGCTATGTCCTTCCACTGAAAGACAAAAGGATAACCTGTGCATCAAGGTCCTTCAGCTTCCTACTCAGAGCCTTGCAATGCTTCTGAATAGTCTGAAGGCTATGCCTTTGCAGCATCATTGGGTAGGGACTGTCACGACTCCTGTGTCTCCTCCAAATTAGGAAATACATTATGAATTGCATAATTCTAGGTTACTCTCTAACAAGATTCTGGCTATATTTTTTAAAGATAAAAATAAAAATAAGCAAAATATATAAAGGTCCCCTGGATATTGCTATGTTGACATCTAGTGATGGTGACAATGTTCTGCTGATGAATGTACTGTTTCTCCAAGCTTCCCTCTGTCTTTCTCTTTGTTGCAGACAATTTGTTTTGTTTCTAGCTTCTAGCTCATTTTGTTGTTGTAATGTAAGCTGATCTGATAGAGGTACTGTTTCAGGAAATAGAAGAGGACAGGAAGCGAGCAGAGCAGGAGGGAATGGCTGTCACCTCCAGGCGAGCCAGGCCAGATGGGCTCACCATCACCATCACCAAGGCCCATAATGTAAGCACTCATCTCCTTTTAATTCTGAGAAAGTTTTTTGAGGATTCTATTTTTATGAGGTGAGAGAGACTGTAGCTTAGCTAGATCATTTAGATTTTTCCCAACTCAATGCTCTCCTTGAGCCTTGGCTTCCATATATATTTAGCAACAGCTGCTATGATACAAAGCCACACTGTCCAATGGCAAGGCTGACTGAGGATTTGGGGTCTAATGCATCTAGATTACCCAAAAAGAGAAGATGGTATTAATAAATAAGATTTCAGGCCTAATAATAATAATAATAATAATAATAATAATAATAATAATAATAATAAAAATTATATTCTGCCCTATCTCACCAGGGAGACTCATAGTGGATTCCAACATACAAAAAGGCAAACATTCAATGCCACAGTAAAACATACAAGTACCGACATAATCCTGAAAAAACCCACATATGAAAACAACATTAGAACCTAACATCAATAAATTAAACAAAACATAATCAAACAAAAATTATATAATGACATAAAATCTGAGCATAAAACACCCTCAATTGATTTACAGGAGCCAACTAAAGTGCATAAAGTTATATGGGTTGATTGTGTGGCTAGTGATTTAATAATAACTTACAGAGGGCTAAATTAAGCAGTGATACATGCTATAGACCAGACCTTCTTAAACTTTTCCACCCACAACCCCTTTCGGCCCGAGAAATTTTTACGTTACTCTGGGTATAGATATATAAAATAGGCATAAAAACCATACATTTACATATAACAAATCAGCATTTGCAAGGCTTGCTAAACCAGCTTATTTTCCTTTTTATGAAGTACAGCTGAAGCATTGTCTGTAGGGTCCATTGTAAACACTGCACAACAGGTTTGTGTAAATGTCAAAAACAGCCACTAGGTGATGTTCAGAAAACTTTTACTGTTAACAAATTTTTCAAGACTCTCAACATTGAGATAACTGGATCCCATTTGGGGTAGGGACCCACAGTTTAAGAAGCAGTGCTATAGCCTAGAAAGGTCTGCCTTCCTGTTCTCAATCATGTGAGTATAGGGCGGGTCCTCCGTATTTAATTTTCCAGAGTGCCTCCTCCACCCTGTATCTAGCGCTCACTGCCCTCTGTCTAGCATTTTCAAGGAGGTGGATAAAACATCAAGAAGTGTTCTACCATTTGCAAGCACCTAAAATCCGGATACAACTTTCTGGATTAGGAATAGTTTCTTGGGATGCTAGCTCCTTTATGGGAGTCATAGAATCATAGAATCAAAGAGTTGGAAGAGACCTCATGGGCCATCCAGTCCAACCCCCTGCCAAGAAGCAGGAATATTGCATTCAAATCAAGGATGGAAACTGGTTTGGTTTAAGGGATAAATTTCTTTAGCAGAATTTGTAGATAAATGCACTGAATCTTTAAATCTCTGCTTAAGTTCTAACTATCTATATCTATATCTATATCTATATCTATATCTATATCTATCTATATATATAATAAAGAAGAGTGTTTGTATCGGACAGAATTGTGGAGGGAGGGCGGTGTATGTGGCAGCGTTCTGATTGGCTGCCGCTGTGGTGCTATTTGCATATGGTCTCTGATTGGCCAGCTTCAATAGGAGCCCCTGGTGGAGAAGAGGGTTCATGGCAGAAACGGGGCATGACAGAAGGAAATTTGCATATGGTCTCTGATTGGCCAGCCTCAAATCCAACATTCCGAGATGACAAAGAGAGGAAAGGAAAGGAAAGGCCGGGGCCTGGGTCAGAACACTCCCAATACAGATCGAAATAGGCACACAGAGCCCCCATCACCCACTCTACATCCTACTGCAGTTTGGAGGACTATGAACCATGGATGATGGGACTTGCAGTACCACCACTCACATTCTGAGACCGCCGTTAACCTTATCCAATGACTGATCAGGACCAAACTTCGCACAGAGACCTCTCATGACCCACTTTACGTCCTGGTGTGGTTTGGCCGGGGATGGACCGTGGATTATGGGACTTGCAGTACCATTGCTCATTCTTCAGACCACTGCAACCCTCATCCAATTACCAAAAAATACCAAACTTGGCACACTGAGTCTCCATGACGCACTCTACATCCAGGTGCAGTTTGAAGGAGGATGCACCATGGACGATGGGACTTGCAATACCTGCACTCCCTTCCTAAGACCATTATAACTGCCAACAATGATGGATCAGGACCACAATTTACACAGAGACCCAGCATGACCCACTCTACATCCTGGTGCGTTTGGAAGAATTTAACAATGGATGATGGGACTTGCAGTCACTTCACTCACTTCCTGAGACCACTGAGACCCTCGCCAATGACTCATCAAGACTAAACTTGGCACATGGAGCTTCAATGACCCACTCTACATCCTGGAGCAGTTTGGAGGACGACAGACCATGGATGATAGGACTTCAAGTACCTCCACTACCCAAGACTGCTGCAAAACCCATCTAATGACCAATCAAGACCAAACTTGGCACGCAGAGCCCACATGACCCAATCTACATCCTGCTGCAGTTTTGGAGAAGGGTGGACCATGGATGATGGAACTTCCAGTACCTTCACTCACATTCTGAGACCTCTGCAAACCTCATCCAATGACGGATCAAGACCAAACTTGGCACATAGACCTCTCATGACCCACTTTACGTCCTGGTGTTGTTTGGAAAAATTTGGAGATGGATGATGGGACTTGCAGTACCTTTGCTCACTTCCTGAGACCACTGAGACCCTCGCCAATGACTAATCAAGACTAAACTTGGCACATGGAGCTCCAATGACCCACTCTACATCCTGCTGCAGTTTGGAGGAGGACAGACCATGGATGATGGGACTTCAAGTACCTCCACTCCCTTCCAAAGATTGCTGCAACCCTCTTCTAATGACCAATCAAGACCAAACTTGGCACACAGAGCACCCATGATCCACTCTACATCCTGCTGCAGTTTGAAAGAGGATGGACTTTGGATGATGGGACTTGCAGTACCTTCACTCACTTACTGACACCACTGCCACCCTCATCCAATGACTGATAAAGACCAAACTTGGCACACAGAGCCCCCATGACCCACTCTATATCCTGCTGCTGTTTATAGGAGGATGGTCCATGGATGATGGGACTTCAAGTACCTTCACTCACTTCCTGAAAATAATGCTGCCATTATCCAAAGACCAATAAAGACCAAACTTGGCATACAGAACCGCCTTTACCCACTTTCTCTAATAACCCGGGCAACACCGGGTCCCCAAGCTAATATAATAAAAGAGAATGTTTGTATCGGACAGAGGAAGGAGTATGTGGCAGCGTTCTGATTGGCTGCCGCTGCGGTGCTATTTGCATATGGTCTCTGATTGGCCACCTTCAATAGGAGCCCCTGGTGGAGAAGAGGGCTCATGGCAGAAACGGGGCATGACAGAAGGAAATTTGCATATGGTCTCTGATTGGCCAGCCTCAAATCCAACATTCCGAGATGAGAAAGAGAGGAAAGGAAAGGCCGGGGCCTGGGTCAGAACACTCCCAATACAGATCGAAATAGGCACACAGAGCCCCCATCACCCACTCGACATCCTACTGCACTTTGGAGGACTATGAACCATGGATGATGGGACTTGCAGAACCACCACTCACATTCTGAGACCGCTGTTAACCTTATCCAATGACTGATCAGGACCAAACTTCGCACAGAGACCTCTCATGACCCACTTTACGTCCTGGTGTGGTTTGGCTGGGGATGGACCATGGATTATGGGACTTGCAGTACCATTGCTCATTCTTCAGACCACTGCAACCCTCATCCAATTACCAAAAAATACCAAACTTGGCACACTGAGTCTCCATGACGCACTCTACATCCAGGTGCAGTTTGAAGGAGGATGCACCATGGACAATGGGACTTGCAATACCTGCACTCCCTTCCTAAGACCATTATAACTGCCAACAATGATGGATCAGGACCACAATTTACACAGAGAGTCCGCATAACTCACTTTATATCCTGGTGCGGTTTGGAAGAATTTGACAATGGATGATGGGACTTGCAGTCACTTCACTCTCTTCCTGAGACCACTGAGACCCACGCCAATGACTCATCAAGACTAAACTTGGCACATGGAGCTTCAATGACCCACTCTACATCCTGGAGCAGTTTGGAGGACGACAGACCATGGATGATGGGACTTCAAGTACCTCCACTCCCTTCCCAAGATTGCTGCAACCCTCATCTAATGACCGATCAAGACCAAACTTGGCACACACAGCCCCCATGATCCACCCTACATCCCGGTGCTGTTTGAAGGATGGACGATGGATGATGGGACTTGCAGTACGTTCACTCACTTCCTGAAACCATAGCGACACTCATTCAAAAACCAATAAAGACCAAACTTGGAACATAGAGCCCCCATGGCCAACTCAACATTCTGGTGAGGTTTGGGGGAGTACAGACTATGGATGATGGGACTTCAAGTACCTCCACTCACTTCCCAAGACCTCTGCAACACTCATCTAATGACTGATCAAGTCCAAACTTGGCACACAAAACCCCCATGACCCACTCTCCATCCTGGAGCAGTTTGGAGGGGATGGACCACAGATAATGGGACTCACAGTAACTTCACTAACTTCCTGAGACAACTGCGAGTCATATAAATAACTGATAAAGACCAACCTTGATACACAATTCCTTTCTCAAATAACCCGGGCAGCGCCGGGTCCCCAAGCTAGTATATAATAAAGAAGAGTGTTTGTATCGGACAGAATTGTGGAGGGAGGGCGGTGTATGTGGCAGCGTTCTGATTGGCTGCCGCTGTGGTGCTATTTGCATATGGTCTCTGATTGGCCAGCTTCAATAGGAGCCCCTGGTGGAGAAGAGGGTGCATGGCAGAAACGGGGCATGACAGAAGGAAATTTGCATATGGTCTCTGATTGGCCAGCCTCAAATCCAACATTCCGAGATGAGAAAGAGAGGAAAGGAAAGGCCGGGGCCTGGGTCAGAAC